TATACACATGTAACGAGAATTCACTTGTAAATTTTTACAAGTGAGTTTTTCGAATTGAAATCTCAATTCTTAAAATCATACGGGATGCTAGATTTGCATCTCACATATGTGAAATATATTTAATATATTTAATATATTTAATATATTTTATTTATTATTACACACACAGAAAGAGAGAGAGAGAGAGAGAGGGAGGGAGGGAGAGAAAGAGAGAAAGAGAGAGAGAAAGAGAGAGAGAGAGAGAGAGAGAGAGAGAGAGAGAGAGAGAGAGAGTGCCTCGCTAACTTTATGCTCCTCGGTTCCGCGGAAAGATGTCGAGGAAGGTATTGTTCCAAGAACTGCCGACTGTTATCTTTAATTGGCTTGACCACGGACTCGATCGCAGAGTCTCGCTAAATCGCGCAAAATCTTGACGAAGCACTTCTAGGAATTAATGAGGATGACCACTGGTAAGATACCGAAAAAACAATTCGGCATGTTAGCGAGGCACTCTCTCACTACTGTATGCATATGTATATACACAGCGCGTCAAAAATTCGCGGAGTAGATGCGAGGGTCTAGAGGCAAAAGAAGCTGTTTCTCTTAGGAATAAATAGCACCAACGAGCACTGTACCTACCAGCTAACTAGTAGCAATCGTTTATCCACAACTGTGTCGCGTTATTTATCCCTAAAAAAACCGCCCTTTTTGCCCCTAGATCTCCGCGCCTACTTCGCGAATTTTTGGCGCTGTGTATACATATATGTATATACATATATAGGGTGTTTCATTTTAAATTACGCACCTGAATATCTCGTCAGGGAAGCCACCAATCCGAAAATAACTCGGAGGGGAACATCGGATGGTGATTTTCAATTTCACCTTGACCTTGACCTTCGAGGTCATTTGAAGGTCAAATCGAATTTTTTAAATGGAAACTCCTATTTTTGACCTCGGATTCGAAAAGAACGCAAAATTTTACGTTCAGATAGGTACTTGAGGCTCTTCTTTGGAATGACCTTCAGAGGTTATTTCAAAGACAAAATATTTGAAATTACGCACCTGAATACATATCTTGTCGGGAAGCCACCAATCCAAATAACCCTTATAAAAGTTGTTGGGTTCGGAGGAGGTCATCGGATGGTGACCTTCAATTTCACCTTGACTTTGATCTTCAAGGTCATTCGACAAACTTCAATAAACAAATTTAAGTTACCACCTTTAAAAAATCATCAAAAAAATAAAAATAAAATTTTAGAAAATAATAAATTAACACACCTTTCAACAAAACTAAAGTTTCACATTTGTTTTTTTTTAGTAACACGGAATTAAAAGGTAAAGTTGCTCAAACCTTATCATCGTGCGTTTTTGAAGACAATTTTGTTTTTTCCTAAACGTTATTAGCAAAAAAAAAATTAATGTAATTGTAAAGAACGTGCCGGAGCCTGTTCTCATTACAAAACTATGGTTCTTTGTGCTGTGCGGTTGCGTTAAAATTGTTTGATATGTATTCAGGTGCGTAATTTCAAATATTTTATCCTTGAAATAACCTCTGAAGGTCATTCCAAAGAAGAGCCTTAAGTACCCATCTGAACGTAAAATTTTGCGCTCTTTCCGAATCCAAGGTCAAAAATAAGGGTTTCTATTTAAAAAATTCGATTTGACCTTCAAATGACCTTGGTCAAGGTCAAGGTCAAGGTGAAATTGAAAATCACCATCCGATGTTCCCCTCCGAACCCAATAACTTTTGTAAGGGTTATTTTCGGATTGGTGGCTCCCTTGACGAGATATTCAGGTGCGTAATTTAAAATGGGACACCCTGTATATATATATGCAATAATAAATAAAATATATTAAATATATAAGTATATTAAAATTGCATTTCAGAAGTATTATGTATATAACACATAATATTTTAACGCACTCTGCACTAATTAAACTGCGTAAAACTTATTAATGATCAATATGTGTGTGTGTGTGTGTGTGTGTGTGTGTGTGTGTGTGTGTGTGTGTTTTATAGAGTATCTGACAATTACTTTAATATCTCTCGTAGGCAGGTAGAAGAAGTAAAACTGAGTTAAAAAGTCCTATATCTATAAAAAAGTTCTATATTTATAGAACTTTTCGACTCAAAGTAATTGTTGAACACTTTGTATATATTATATCTAGAAATGTGTTTTCTTTTTATTTTAATTTCAGCTGTTCTAGAGGAGATTTCTTGAAGCTATTTTTACATCTCGAAAATAAGGGCGTTTCCGAATACACTCCTTGGTCCGGTGTGCTGTGTGGAGAATTGCGTGACATCCCGCAAGTCGTTTACAGCTCAAGTTCGACACTCATTCTGGAATTTCATACCGAGGGTCCACAGTCTAATGCCACTGGCTTCTCTGGCAAATTCCATTTCATCGATAGACGTGAGTAGTCGACACATTCCTACATATGATTAATTGTTTTATTCTTTTGTTATGACGGAACTGACCGTCAATATGTCACTGAACAAGATTCTAAAAAGTCATAAAGAAGAACAAAAAAACAAATATATATTTCATATTTCCTATTTCAAGAAATGAGTGCTACATATCGAGCAACTATTTGTCGTAACATATGAAGATTGTTTTATAGCAAGCGATTATAATTTACTTGTAGTATCTAAACAACGTTTTGTGGTGCATAATCTATGTATACTCATCCATAGAAACAAATTAATCGTTAAATCTTTCGAGTTAACAGAAAAATAATAAAACGGTTTAATAGCCGCACATGTGTTATATATCAATACAGGATTCGAAAAAAAATTAGAAAATAAATATTAACTTTATGCGTACGATCGTAAGTTTTGAATACAAGGTTTTTTTCGCATCTCAAGTGGAATACATTTAAACCACTTGTATTGATCAACAGTGATACCTAACTTATTTCTGGCGACTTGAAATCCGCGCGCTGCAAGCACTTTAAGAGTTTAGAATAAGAAATAGAGTAGATTAAGACTGACAAGATTTTAAAAACCGTTATACTTCACGAAATTAAAGTCGCAAATTTCAGTACAACCAGTTTAAAAATTTTGTAGATTTTTAACCAGCATTTGTTAGTAAGCATTTCATGAATATAACTGCTCGACACACATGTTTTAAACATGGTGTTCTGCTGAACTTATTTTGCTCACGTGTATGCAGTCAGCTTACATATGTCATAAATAATAGTGACACAATTCTCCCATAGTGGGTGAGTTTCCTCCACAATTTGGAATCGTAGTATTTTTTTTTGCATCGGTTGTGCAGCGAGTCTCTCTGTGTGTTACTACAACTTTCCGTGTAAAATTCTATATTTTCCATAATTAAAAAACTAAAAACATTTCTTTTACTTCAGTCTCTGTTGCGATGTTTTACTTTTAAATTGTACACGAGAATATGCAAGTTATATCTTGAATATACAGATTTACGGTTCTCGTCGAGTGTTTCTTCGATCAAAACTTATAGAAATTATTCTTGTAAAATATATTCTACAGATAGCATTTTAATTTAATTTAATTTGAAGAAATAACGATAGACAAAATTAAAAAGGAAAATTAAACAAAGAATAATAAACTTTGTGGCTTGCTATGAATTTTATTTAGTCAGTTTTGTACATCACGGTTTGCACCAAGTACCTATATTACAAATTCAATCAATTTCGATAAAGTAGTGTATATGTATAGTGGTGCATATGTTTATCTTTGTTTTATCAAAGTTTACAACTTTAAATATACGGAATAAAATAGTTGTTATAATAGAAAAATATACTTGTAATTGCTACCATCATGGGAAACATTATAAATCTATTTTATTAGATCCATCATTATCCAACCAGCAACAACAGCGTACAAAAAAGCGTACGACAAAAATGATACTGTTACTACTTTTTTTCGTATTTCGTTTTCAAAGTTGTTATCAGCGCTTTTTATCATCATTTATGTTGGTTGCAAATATTATACTCTTTTTCACGATTTAATATATTATAGAACTTGTTTTCAAAGTAAAATATTGCAACATATTAAAATTGATAAGACACAACAATATAGATAGAGCGTCGCTACATTGTCGTAAATTAATTTATTTACTATGCTTCCTTGCTTATGGTTTTAATCTCGTCCAAATCTGCCAATTACTGAAGAAATTGCAAAAGCGTCTCTTTTGCGATTGCTGAAAATATTCTCGTGTGCTCTTTTTAGAGATTAATAAGGATATTCCCGGTTTCTTCGGATAATTATCTTGAAGTTTAATACGATGAGTTTAAATAAGTTTCCACATGATATACAACGTTGCCGTGCTATTGTAAGTACAAGAACTATCATAGCTGTTTGAGTTTGCATGATCTAAAAACTAAAATCAAGACAACATTAGTTTTGCAAAATAATTTTCAACAACAAAAAATATACATATATATCTGTGTGTGTGCACACACACATACACAGATATATGATATCACAAGTGTGTATTTTCTCAAAAAATGGCTTGATTCGTGGATAGCCTCAAAAGACGAACACTTTTACCGTAACGGTATTCGAGCTCTGCCAGAAAGATGGGAAAAAGTTGTAGCTACCGATGGGCAATACTTTGAATGATTCATTTGTAACCATTTTTTCACAATAAAGTTGCATTTTCAAACAAAAACAGCGAGAACTTAGTTGCGCATCTAATATAAAGTGGAAAATTTAGTCGATTTTCAAGTTTTTTTTATTGTCTACAAGGAACGCCAGACTAATTAGTCGAAGAGCGTTAGAGCTTGCACCGAGATATCAGGATTCAATATTCCAGAATCCATTTTATATCTTCTAGCACTTATAGAGGCATCGATGTTAATGCATATTTTGCTGCCACTTAGAAATCTTTATAGACTTGATCAGTGAATTACTGACGCAAACTTTTCGGGTCATTTTATTAAGATTTTCTGTTGAACATTATGAAAATTTTCAAGAAAAAATCAAGAAAAGCTAATAAATAACATGTGATATACATAAATACATAAAAATCAATACCTACCAACAACTAAACGCGAAAGTATGAACCTCGTATTTCTTTCACCAAAATAAATAAGTTTAATATCAAAATGTGTCAAAAATGAGTTCTTTTTTTACATTTATGTAGTTGTATTGATTTTTATATATAGTTTATGTACATCACATGTTATTTATTAGCTTCTCCTATTCCGTTGTTACGGCGTGAGCGCGCGAAATACTGAGCTGTCGTTGTACTGTCATTATGGACGTGGCTGCACGCTCATTCGTGGATCTTTATTAATTGATATCTCGTTAATTATTGCAAATCTTGCAAAGTGGTATAAATCTTTTTGACTCAAGAACAACCTCAAGAGTAACCTCTTCTATCTGCCTACGAGCGGTGTTACGGCAATTACCGGACACTCTGTGTGTGTGTGTGTGTGTGTGTGTGTGCAATATATATATGTATGTATGTATATATTGTGACGTGGTATTCACGCCGCTCTTTCCTCGTCACAAAAATTAAAGATTTCGCGGAAGCCCGGGAAAGCGAGCTAGATTAAGAGCGCCAAGATCCTCCAGGGCTTGTATGCGTCTGATTAGAATAGCGTTTTATTTTTATATTTTTTTTGTAAGTACTATCGGCGCCTCACCGTTCTAACTATCATCGTGGGGCTTTTCAACCTCGCCAACCTGCTGCTGAGTATAGAGAGAGAGAGACAGGAGCCAGAACGGAGAAGCTGCTTATTTACGTTAAGGTCGCATCGAGGGCGAGATAGTCGTGCGGAACGGCGGAACGAACCACCAACGGACCAACCTGCGCTGAGCTGCAGTGCTTTATGGCTCTTTTGGCTCTTTTGACTCTTTATGGCTGCTGCATGGTTTGAAATATAGAGCTACTGGCTTCTTTGCTGCTTATTAGGAGCCGCTAATTAGTCCGAAGACATCTTTATCCGCACCACGACATGTTAGCAATCACGATCCTGCGAGCGTTCGAATTTCGCGGCCCGCGGATCCTGCCGCCTAGAGCGACCTGGTGAGCTGCGCAACCCCGCGGCCTGAGTGGCCCACTCGACCTACCCCACGCGGCCCAACCGCTTATCGAGCGAGATCTTTGCGCTCTTGGTCGCGATCAGCTGTGCCGCACGCACACGTATCTCTCGGGCTCCCGTGCGTATGATTGATTCCTGTGCCGTGTAAAAAAGTCTGCCGTGCCGCGATTTCTGTGCTCGGAATGTATTTGTTCGAGTCGTGAGGGTGACCCCGACTGAGTGAGCGAGCCCTGCGAGTGTAATCCAGGACGGAGAAGACAAAATTATAGCGCCAAGTAGCATTTTCGCGTTGTTTGTTTTCTTCTGTTTTCTTTTTTTTTTAGTTAAGTGGTCGTGATCGTTGTGCGTGTGTACCGTGATTATTGTAGCGTACCGCTTGCGTACCGTCGGCTATCGTCTACCGACGGCGATCAGCTGACACGGGAACAAATATCAGAACGAAATCGGATTTTCTCGCGCGATCGGCTGGAGTGAGGTGCGTGCGAGTCGGAAGCGGTGTCGATCGGAAAATATTGTACCGAGCTAACGTGCAAATTAACGGTAATTTCGGGTGGTGAATTTCCGGGACAATTATCGCCGACGAATTCGCGAACGTACGGTGAATGCGTGTCGCATTTTGACGTGTATAATTCGTCCGGGAGGATTCGCGATCAAATAACGTATCGTACCGTCGATCTTCCTAGCGCCGAGACAGCGCGCGTCGTTAATCTTTCGGTAATAATCGAAAAACAAAACCAAGCCCCCCGACATCGCGCTCGCTTCGCTCCTCATTGCGAGTATTTCTTGAGTGCATGAACGTAGACTAAGAACTCGGCTCGGAATTATCTGCGGGTCTAGGGACACAAAACCGGCGAAAGCTGCGTGGCGAGTCGATCCGTTCGACCAAATCGCGAATATCGGCAAAACAAGTAAGTCCGCGTTGATTTACGGCTTGTAAAGAGGCTGCTGCACGCTACTTTATCCCGGCGTATTGTTTGTAACGTACCTTGGCTTGCACCCTCTTGCCTGCTTAGCCTGCGTCTAGCTTTGCTCCTGGCTATCGCTCTTTTCTCGTGCCTGCACTTACGATCTTTCAGCCTAATGTAATTAGTAAAGTCTCTCGTTCAGTACTTTCGCGGTATCGGTCCGATTAAATAACTTATCTCGTTGATTAGCGTGATTCGGTTTGTTATTTGTCGTAACCAAGGTTGGGTAGTGTCTAGTTAAAAAGATAAAAGTTAAGTTAAAAAGTTAAAAAGTTAAATAATTTTAACTTTATCTAGTTACATTTTTAGACTCTTATCTTTTAACTTTATTTAGTTATATTTTATCGGTAACTAGTAACTTTTTATTTCAACTCTCTTGAATCTACTATAGCCATAAGATTTTTTATTTGTTTGTATACAAA